CACTCAAATCACCTTTCTTCCCCATACTGATGCTCGGTTTGAACTGCAGGAGATTGTCTTGACCATGTCTACATGCCTAAATGCACTGAGTTGCCGCCATGTGATTGGCTGATTAGAAATTAAATGTTAACGAGCAGTTGGACAGGTGTACCTAATAAAGTGGCCGGTCAGTGTATGCATCAGTATCAACAGTTTTATAGCAGTGACCAACAATACGGTGACAAAGAACTATATGCTTATTAYATCTGCACCACCATGATATGAAATAACTGCTGCCAAGTGAGATTACACTTAGAAAACCTCAGCAAGGCCAGCCAGACCTCACTGACTGCAACTTAGATATACAGAGACGTTTACTACAGCAGAAGTCTGTGTGGCTGCCATGAAGAGTAAAAATTAAGTGCAGCAATGTATTAATCTTCTCAAAATGTGACGAGGGTAGCATGGCGATTCAGCAGGTACAGCTGTTGCCTCCCAGCAAGAATGTTGCTGGATCAAACCCCGGGACCTTTTGTGTGTTTTGAAGTTCCTGAAGAAAACCCACACATACACAGAGAGAACAAACAGTTTCCTCCCACTGACCAAAACCTGGGGCCACATGTATCAACAGTGCGTACACACAAAAACCTTGTGTACATCWTTATCCACGCAAAACTCCGGATGTATCAAAACTCAACTGAACGTGGAAATGTGGGCAGCCCCATGCCAACTCCAGGGCTGCTGTACGCACGTTTCTGTGGCTTTGGTTCCATTGGCGACACTTAGAGRTGATTCTGAGAAACTGTTCATGATGTGAAAATGATTATTGTTCACAGCAGACACACATGATTAACAATTATTACATCCACATGATTAACAATTATTACATCCACATGATTAACAATTATTACATCCACATGATTAACAATTATTACATCCACATGGATGCAGTTAAATGAAGGACGCGCAAAGTTGTGCCAAAAACAAATTTAACAGGAATGGATTCAGCCTTACTGGAGGATACAATAAATAGTGTAACACGCAGAGCTTTTATTTATAAGCAGATAGAATTTTCTGATGACAAGTGGCTCATCAGCCGTTTTGAGGAAAAATAATTTTTTAGTTTGGCACTGCTGCGCTCTGGGAGCGCGACGCAGCGAGCCGCGTGCGCCACACGTGCACGTGCAACAGCAGCGATTGAACTGGGGTTCMACAGGAGCTTTCCAGAGGGAGTTGGCAGACCCATCGGGACCGTGTCACTCCAGTCCACCCAAAGCTGAATCATGCCCAATGGAATCGTCTCATCCATATGATTCTAAATGCCGAGTTATGGTCGCGCTCTGGAGCCAATTGCACAACACAGCAGCGTGTGCGCACACAAACACCGACACACAATCACTCGTTCTTTGCATGATAAACATATTTTATTCTTATTTTTACTTAGGATTTCTTTTCACACTCACATTATATTTAATTAATTATTTTTATGACTCCAAAAATCATTTCTGATCACACAGGGATCAAACAAACATGTCCTTCACACATACAGGAAGTAATTTGCATTTGTTTATGTTAATGAAGGCGTGTCAGGGGA